TAGCTATTGAGATGAGAAACAAATCCACTTAAATAACCCATTGAGTATTTCATGGTACTCAATGTGGGACTTATGTCCCATACTACCAAGTCTCGTTATTCATGCTCATAAGCCATGCTTACAAACTACCCCCATCCCCTTTAATGATGGACCTGAAGCACTAACACCCCCTAACAGACCCTTAACTCTCCTTTATTACTATAATTACATAACATTAGCTTCCGATGTAAAGGTAACATCCCAATGTCTCCAATCTACGAAACTTCATTCAACCTCCTGCAAGTTAGAACTCTCCATGGGTGCCTAAATGGGATGGAGTATCCTACCCCAAAAGCTAGCTATTAAGATGGAAGAACCAAATCATTTAAATACTGCATTAGGCATCTCATATTACTCATTGTGGGTCTTAATATCCCATGATACCAAGGATGCATCAGTGGACCCCATACATTGGTTGAAATGCATAGTATTAGCAAATTTATGTCTTCCAAGTGTGTTAATACAATTGCTCCTTTTAACTTTGGGACAGTACAGCAACATTGTACAAGCTTTAAGGAAGGGTGATCTTCGACTTCTTCGGCATGCCCTTCAAGATCATGAGGACCGGTAAAATTACTCATCAAATGAGTTATTCCAAGATTCATCTTGCAGAGTAAAATCAATATTTATTTATTTTTGCAGGTTCTTGAGGTCAGGTGTATATCTTGTTCTAGAGAAGTTAGAACTTCAAGTTTACCAGAGATTGATGAAGAAAATGTAAGTTTCCAATATCACTTTGCACCCTCCCATGTTTGTTGCGGTTGATAAATGAATCGATCGCTCCTTAAGTTGATGAACAACTAATTTCTTGTTATCCCATGACAACACGGCAGTTACATTATTCAGAAGCAAAGGGACCCAAACAAAGCTCATCAGGTGAAGTTGGAGGTTATTGTGAAAGCATTGAGGTGGCTTGAAATGGACATGGATGTGGATGAGGTAATTTTCATATTTCTTCTGCTTTTATTCTCCAACTTAGAGGTTATTACCTATCTAAGGAGAAGTAAAGAAGGTGGTATTGTGGTTTCCGATTGCTGTGATTTGCAGGTGGAGTGTATTATGGCCATATTGATATATAAGAACCTTATGAAAGGCTACTTCGCTCACAAGAGTAAAGTGGTTGTTTTGAGCAAGCAAGACCCTTTCCCTAAATTAAATGGAAAGCCAGTCAATTCATAGTGAAGAGATGATCCTTGGCTTTTCACAGAAATCCAGAGGGCTGAGGAAGGAGGTGGTTATGCGGCCATGTTTTGCGTTGTGTTCAACGATCGGGAATATACTCAAATGTGTTCCGGTGTACTACTTATTATAGCGGTGTGTCGGTTTGTCAAATCGTGCTATATTCTCTTTGAACTTCATCCTTTCTAGACGATGCTAATTTCCACGAATTAAATCGTGGTTTTTGTACCCAGCACACGAGTATAGTCTTATCCTAATTATTTGTATTTGTTACCCCTGTCACTTGTCTATTTATCCGGAAGCTCAAAGCCCTATTCCTTCCAATGGACGAAAACAAATATCCTTCTGATTTCTAATGTATGACCTAATTGAGAAATTAAAGTTGGTTTTATATATAAAATTTATTTCACATGTTTACTAATTTTTTTCAAATTAACCCTACTAATATTCCTCAATAATAATTAAATAGGAGAGGAAAAAAGGAAATTAAAGAAGATGTTTAAGATGTTTTAAAACAAAATATCATGTTAGCTAATTTAACTAACACTTTTAATATATTCAGATTAGCTAATAACTTAGCTAATTAAGTGTTATATTCAGGATTAGGGGAGTACTAGCTATTAAACTTGTCTAAGCTGTAGTTTACAGCTCGGCAAAGATTGTTTTGGAACGAGAATTAGAAATACATAAAAATCATAGTGTGTAGACATATGGAAAAATTGATTTCAACTAAAAGGAGTAACATAAAACAAAGTGAAAATGTAAATTAAGTAAAGTTAATGAACACTTTATAATTATTTTTTTTGGCCAAAGAACACTTTATAATTTAAAAATATTTTTTAATTCTTTTCTCTCTTGTTCCATGCTTTTTCTTTTTTTTTTGTCTCGCATGCGTCTCCCTCGCTCTCTTCTTTCATTTGCTTGCTGCTTCTAATCATCCCCATGAGGGCATGAGGCATTGTTTCATTCCGAAGACACTCTCAACCCAAGATAGCAAATTAAAGAAGACAAATTTTCCGTTTTATATTTAAATTACATTCCATCTCTCTCAGAGAATTGGCGCTTTTGACTGGTTTTTCAGCAGAGGACGTTATCAAGGAAAAACGAAAAAGTAGAGGAGGATACAACAAAGGAACAAAAGAGTATTGCTGACAAGAATTGGTCTTTTTGGTGAGAAGTCAACTTATAACCTACAAGATCGTGAGTTTGAATTCCATTACCGATGTGAGGATTTTGTTGATAGACGATCTATAAGTAACTCTATGACTCTAAATCTAAAGACATGTCCTGGTCTTGATAAGCCTTTATTATCTAACTCACTTAAAAAATTTTGTGTCAAGGCAAAAACATATTATTGCCGACTGCAAATAATAATAATCTTCTTTAATAACGTATCATATATACATTAAAAAAGCAAAGAAGAGAAAAATAAAGAAAAAGTTACATGACCAGAGGCACACCATTGCGAGCAGCTATTCTTCATCCTTTGAACAGAGTACAATCTTAAATTACATATTGAACGCCTTCCCAAACACAGTATTAGATTATATGTAAATCCTCACAGTTCAGTTGATACATATGTGTGTTTATTCTTTGTCTTTCAAAGTAGAAATCAGCTTTTGGCGTCAAATAAGTGTGTTGCTGTGAAACAAGTTGCCAAATTCTCCAGAGGGGTTGTCCCACAAAAAAGCTGTACAGGATCGCGAATTGGCGATAAGTATTATATCTCATTATTTTACCAAAGCGAATCATCACTGTCATGATTGAGCAGAAGCGCTCTCGTTTACGTCCATCTGAAAAGCTAAGCTAAAAAGGTACAACCCTTGTTGCTTTCCCCTCTGATCTCTGAGCTTCTCTCTCTCCCTACCTAGCCTCAGACAAGGCAACAACCACTGATTTATGCATTGCGCTTCAGTGGATTTCAGTACTGTAGCTAGGATTGTGTTTTTTATAGACTACAAACAAATTCTTATAATTAGAAACGGAAGTAGTAATATAACAATGAGTAACCCCTTGTTAATTAGAAATACATGTGCACATCAACTTTAACTGATGATAACGGTATACGCATATACATGCACCTTGAATGAGGAATGACACAATCTGACCGTAATATGAAATTGATTTGAGTATTGTTTGGCTAAAGTATACATTTGGTTTTTTAATTTTGTACAATGTTTCAATTTAATCCCTTAACTTTAAAAATCATACATTTGATCCTTTAACCCTAAAATCATTAGGCTTTAATGATGATTTTTTCATAACAATCATGGATTTTTTGAAAATTAAATTTAATATGTTAGCATTTGAGAATGTTTTATCAATATTTAAGATCTTGATGTCATCATTTTTTTAAAAAAAATTTAGGGTTAAAGGACTAAAAATATACTTTTTAAAGTTAAGGGACCAAATTAAAACTTTATATAAAGTTAAAAAACCAAATATATATTTTAACCGTATTGTCTTGTGTTTTGTGTATGTACATGCATGTCAGACAGTAGCAAATAGTTTATTAATATAATTATATGCAGATAGCTTAAGGTTTAGCGGAGAATTCATTGAGGTCAAAAGAGAGGGAGAGAGAGGAGATCAATTCAATAAACGCAAATAAAAGTGTAAGTATAGTACAATTTGACAAATAAGGAAAAGAAAAAAAGAAAAAAGAGGGAGCGTAGAGAGATCAGAAAAAGTAATATTGATCACTTTCTTCGGAAGACTTTGTTGGACGTGGGTCCTCTTTCTTCTACATAAAGAAAGGCTCAATATTTGAAACTAAGGGAGTGTTTAGATAAAAACCAAACCATGGTTTCAGAAGTGTTTTTACGGATTACGAAGTAAATATGTGGAGGAGGTTACCTTGTTTTGTGGAAAAGTGCTTCTAAAACCACGGTTTTAGAGCACCCAAACAGAGCCTAAATAGGTGTCTAATTAATTATTAAGACAGAGAAGGGTCCGATTATAGAGTTTGAGGATGATGTCTTGTTTAAGAGAAAAGTATAGATATTTGAGAGCAGAGAAGTGTATTATTTAAGGAAAGATTGTTGGGATATCAAGTAGGAGTGTACTTGGCTTGACATTGGAAGATGTTCCACGTCGAATAGAGTTACCTTATGCTAGACAAGAGATCGATAAGTATGTACTACCTCCTCCGGTCTTTAATATAAAATCTTGTTTGACTTTTATTTTGATCTTAAATATAAGACCCCAATACATCTTTTCTCTAATATTTATACATTTTTTTCTGAGGTAGTCCTTCTAATAATGATAGTTCTAGCCAACACACTAGATTAACAATGATATTTTAGGAAAAACAACACATATTTATTATAAATAAATAACTTAACTTATTTCCTTAATCTCATCAAATTAGTCAACTAACTCTTATAATTAGGACCGGAAGGAGTATATAATTGAAAAAAGACTTTATATATTTAATGTGTCTTAAGATTTTGAATTAAGATATGAGTAGTGCCCAAAATTTAGCTTGTTGTGTCTCAAATTTTATACTTCTCCGGTTTTTAATATAAGACATATTTAACTAATTTAATTAGATTAAGAAAGTTAGATAAGTTGGTTAATTATAAGAAATATGACATGTTTTTCCTAAAAGACTATAATCATCTTTCTTAATATCCTCCCTTCCTTACTTACTTGACTATGGTTGAAGGAGTATTCATAGGGATAATGTAGGAAAAATTGATAGTATGATAATTATGTATTATACTTAGAATCAAAATTAACTTAATACTTAGGATCTATTAAGGACGGGAGGAGTAGACTTCATCAAAATAAAGAGAAAATACATTATCGAAAAGGCCTGCCTAGACACCATCAGTTTTATTGAATTCAACAATATAAAGAAAAAATACGTTGTCAAAAAGACATAGATACCATCTGTTTTTTCTTGTTCATGAGTTAAAGTACGGCAGTATGGTACGCTGCTCACAGCATCACCCACCACAACTTTATTGTCCTCTCTTATCTCTTCCCCCTAATTCCACTTCCTGTATATATAATTTCACCGCATCCTCTACTGGGAGCTCCCAAAAAATAGAGACCGCAAACACTCACATAACAACATACTTAATGATTGTAATAATCCCACCAATAAGACAAAACAAGGAAAAAAAAGACAATGATGAGAAAATAATTCAGCATAGCGAGAAACCTTATCCACGAACAAGACCACAAGATAAAGCCATGAGCAGAATAGCAGCTTCCTTCTCGTCCTGAGGGAATAGAACTTGTTGCGCAGACAAGCTCTTGCTCAACCTCGTAGCAAAATCCTCCAAAACAGGCTTCTTTCTACCTCCACATGCCTTCACTACTCCAAGCTTTCGCTTCTTCTTCTTCTTCTTCTTCAACAGTGGCTTCTTCTCCTGTTTCTTCTGTACCTTGTTTTCCCTCACCGGAGCAGAAGCCGCCGCCGCCGCCATGGCACGCCTCGCCTTCCTTTGCCGAATTCCACACGCGTTGCAAAGTGACTGTTAAGCCAAAATGATTGCTCAGTGTAGCATATATATATATATATATTTAGCCCATATCCCGCATATGTAATTAATTAGTTAAATTCACTTTGTATTTCCAAGTCTATGAATTAGGGATACTAAAGCCTGTGAAGTCGTTTACAAAGTACAAGAGAAGATGTTTAATTTGAAAGATCAGAAGAAGAAGATGTGTACCTTAGGGCCTGTTGGTCCGCTCCTCCAGAGAGGGGTCTTAGTGGTCTGGCAATCAGCACAAACCCTAACACCGATATGAGACGTTTGATCCGAGGAACAAGCTCTATTGCACATGTTATTATGGTCAGTTGATGAGGATAATGATGATGATGATAAGGGCTTCTGATGATGATGATGATCTTCAAACCTCTGCTTACTTTGTTCCCGAACCATCATTCTCATCTTTGAAGGCTTCCACTTGCTTGATCCTTCCTTAACTTGATCATTCTTATCCTCTTTCTTCCACTGGTCTGCCTGATGAACATCACAACACGACAGTGATCGATCAATAAGGCAAATCAACAAAGAGGAGCAAATAATAATAACAATAACAACTAAGAGATATATATATACATATATATAATGCTCACATCTGGGATCATATCCTGGTGATAAGAAGTTTGCAAGCGATTCAGTGACTGATCATGATGGGGGTCATCAGGAGGATAAGAAGATGAAGAAGAGGGTTGAATATGGCTTTGATGAGACATGGAAGAAGACACAGCTGGTGAACAGCGATAAGTTGGTATCATATATATGGATGCACACGCATAAACACACACTGACAGAGATCAGAGAGAGGGAGGGAGGGAGGGAGGGAAGAGAGAGAGAATCACGCGAAGAAATGACAAAGGCAGAAAGGAAGGGACAGAGTTAAAAGGACAAACAATAACTGAATGCAGTGTAAGGAATTGACCCCATTCGTTATGACTCTGACAAAACCCTATCTCCTCATTTAAACACTTTTCACTTATATGCATGCTTCATCATCAATCTCCCCTTCATTGAAGTACTTCCATTTGCTCCCAAAAATCAATTTTGATTTTGTCACATATATGTATAGCATTCAAAATCTGACTTGTAAATGAAGGAGTGCGTACCAATCATGGGATTTTTTAAACCAAACAAACTACACAAAAGAGTATCACTTAGGAATAATTTGAAAGTATCTCTTCAAAAATGTTGTTTAAGCTATATGAGACATATATTCTAAACATCTAACTTTGATACGTTATTAAGACCCAACTCACTTTTTAAAAACAAATTATCGAGGATCCCAACTACATGGAAACTGCTTTTTCTCTAACATGTCGGCTTAGTTTATAAAAACGCGGGAACTAGCTTCTTACTAATTGACCATATAAATAATGATGATGATGATGACGACGACAACGACGACAGTGACAAAATCAACAATTAATAATAATAAGAGGAATAAGAACAAAACAATAATTACGATAACGAGGTAAGCTACGTCTGAGGGGTTTCGTGCACTCCTCTGGACAGAGTAACTAATAGAGACTCCTGAGATATTATGTAATTACATTAATCCTCTGCTACAGCCTACAGAATTACTCCAAAATTATGTCCCCTTTTTAAACTCGGGCCATCATTTGATTGCATCTTAATATAGCTATATATATAAAAACTAAAATTAATTAGAGTAAAGCCCCATTTTTTCAATTTTAAAATGAAACACCACTTTTTTAAAATATTTACTTTATAATAGTTTTTAGGGCATTTATTTTTTAATAGGAAAAAATTGAAAAAATTAAAAAAAAAAAAACTCAACGACAAACTAATAAATATACAAGTTTTTGGCTCCGGTGAACAGAGAAAGGAATAAGCCCACAACAAAAATAGAAGTTGGATGAGACCATGAGATCCATTTGAAAGGACGAGGTGGTTTTTCTTTTCAGTTAACCAAGGCTTGTTGGGCCCTGGTGAAGCCCAGTTAAGCTTGTACTCACCGGCCTAGGCCCAACTTTATTTTAAATTCTTCTGTTAGCCCCTGCTTTCGTTCCCCTGTTCTGTTCGTTTTTGTGGATCGACTCTGTCATCTTCCTGTGGCCCATCAAAAATGATTATGATCTTTGCTTTATTTAAAAAAAAAAGTAACAGTGAGATTAGCTTTTCAAACTTCATGTAAAAACAGAACCATATATATTAATTCTGCAATAATGCCAGCTGTTAAATACTTAAATAAACAAGTAATGATATGTTTCTACCGAAATCTTGGTTTTAATTATTTATAGTGTGCATTAAGGCACAAATTAAATCAGCATTTGGGAGCATTCCTCAACACAAGGGGTTGGAATTAAAAATAAATGAGAAACTAATTATTAATTATCTGCATAATATGGATTGGTCAACACTTTGTACACTGAGCTTTTGATGAATATTTGGTTGATTGATATAAGCTGTGCTTGTGGATAAAGATGATAAAGGCGTGCCATGTAAGCATGTATCTATATCTACATGTTATTGTCTGCCTAATCCATTCAAGACGGATAACGCATATATATATATATATATATATATATATCCATCAAATAAATATGTTATGAACAACGTGTTTGGTATCACTATTAATTGCTTGTTTGAAAGCAACGTTATCGGCCATCAGCTTACTTTAAAATAATTAAAAAAAATCAATCACAATTTAATATTCATTCAAGTATTCAATAATTGGTAACTTGCCATGGTTTCATTCAAATGGAAATTATTAATTAATTGTAACTTCAACTTTTTGGTTTTGTGAAAGAGTGTGTGTGTAAATAAATTATTTATTCTGGGCTTTCTAATAGTAGGTAACATTCAACCTTTTTTTTTTTTTTTTAAGTTATGGGAGGAAGTGGGAATTGTGAGAGAGAAAGAGATCGTGAGGTGAAACTAAAATGACAACGTAAGTAATACATATGTTGTGGTTGGATGGTTTAGTTGTACTTGTTGTTCTGTTATTTGTATAACAGCAACAACCATGGAAAGCGCCTCAACTAACTCAGTGTGGTTCCTTATCATTTCACAGTCACTTTTCTTCATTGCCTCATTCCTATCACTCAAGCAAAGTACAAACCCATCACTCACCAAATCATAATTCCAGCCAATTGCATATATAAACCAATAAATATAATCCAATAGCTTCTCGGATCTGTTTTGATGCTCATATATTCTTGGATATGTGGAGACCTTGCAACAGAAAAAGGTGGGTGTTACTTCTCATTTTTATGATTGCCTCGGGTCATAAAAGGCAGAAGTTAAGTAATTTATTTATATTAAAAAAATTAGTTTAGTTAGTTGTTATTTATGAAAAATGTGTATTGATTTTTTAAAGTTTTTTTTTTAATCATTTCCATGTAACATCACTCTTATGATGGAAAGACCTCCTTAATCAATAGAGAAACTTAGGGGGGGAATTCAAATTTGTGAGACAAAAAAGTATGTTAAAACTTTACATTTAAAATCAAAACAGGCTCCTATACTGTTTCTCATTTATAATTGAAGGAAGTATCATCTCTATTTTTTTTATTTTATACAATTTAAATATACCAAAGTAATAAACAAACATGTCAATGTCAAGCTCAAATTTAGGACCTTGTCTAAATGTAACGAGTGGTGCTGAACATTGAAAATGTCGTCTATGTTTTAAAACTTTAGTGCAATTCACCAAAAAAATCAAAGCTTATAATCTTCTTGATGGAAAAATCATACGTGAGAATTATTTTTCATATTGTAGACTTGGTAATACTTAAGTTTAGACTGGTTTGATCGGTAAGGTAATATCAAATGTCTATATAACTGTCAAAAAAGAGGAAAAATTATTGTAGTCTCACATAAGTAATTAAGTACCAAGTAGGTGAACAATATGGTAATGACAAAGATTTGATATAGGAAATGACAACTTGTCAAAACTTTCGAATGGTTATGTTATTTATGTGGGAGTACATAATAATTTTTTTCTGGAAAAAAAACATTAAATATGAATCATGTTCATTTTGTACTGCAATAATCATTCAGACATTTTTCTCTGATAACTATCACGCATTTCTTAATAACTACCACATTTCTTCATAATCACTTCACATATGTAGGTTGTGTCTTTCAGATTGTTGGGTTTATTTTGGTGAATTTAGGAATTAATTATAACTAATTAGTAGTCCCCCTAACAGACAAAACTTGCTTCCACACTGAATTTGTTTGTCAATTTGTTATACATCCATAATGCTCCAAAAGTTTTCATTTCTAATATAATTAAGTTATTGTTTTAGCGACCTAATCTTTACACGTAGTTGCTTTTTTAAAAGGTTTAAACCTTTGAAAAAGGGGCCAGAACAAACTTCAACAAACTCGTGAACTAGATAATTGTTTGTTTTGATTTGTCTGATATTATTGTTTAAAGTGGTCGACTAGTTAGCTCACAATTATGACCAAAATATTGGCTCCCTGCTTTCCCCTGCCACTTTCAAAGTTCAAGCTTAATTATGAAGCCATCATTCAAATCTAAGGGCTGCTTCACCAAAATTTTAATTTTAAATAAACAAGTAAAATAGAAACTTTTTTTCCTTTAAGTGGTAAAGAAAAATCACTTCCAGGTCCACCTATAATATAAATATTGAGATACCCAAAGGCCTAACATCTTTTTAAAAAAATTTTAGCTGAACTTTTTAAAGTTAAAAATAAAAAACTCTAAGTCGTATTAATTATTGAAATTTTTGTGGCACGAGTCATACCTAATTAGGGACTTGTTAATCAACATAGGATTAGAAGTGATGTTCCAACAAATATTCCCTTTGTTTCTCAAAGTTTTAAACATATTTATTTCATCTAAAAATATCATTAAGTTGTTGGAGTAATCTTTTTATTAATTAGAAACTGTTAAAAAATTAATACCAAATTTGAAAGCTAGATAGGGTTGACATGCATACATCAAGGCATGATCCTGGCTATATAGTGCTATATATATTGATTCCACTTATCTTATTCGTACTTTTTTTTAATTATTCGTTTGGACGGTGATACATATCAATTAGTCTTTTTTTTGTTGTTGCCCAAAATATCTTCTCACCTGGATGGTAAGAGACTAATCTTTCGAGATACTGTCAAAGTATCCTCCCACCTAAACGGTAAGAGACTAATCTTTCAGAGTACTGTCAGACACTGTAGTGGGGACTCCTTTCAATAATATTTTTCTTTATACACACTGTCCCAAGGATCAAACCTAAGATATAATGCTTAAGATATTCAAATCCCTTCCACTTGGACCAATACTTGTTGATTCAATTAGTCTTATATTCAAACACATAAGTTTGCATTTAAATATTATTGCAAGTTAGTGGGAGGGGTATGGTGTATAAACATATACTCCTCCGGTCCTTATTATAAGACCCAATTTGACTTTTTATTTGGTCCTAATTATAAGACCCAATCCATTTTGTCTCTTATATTTATGCATTTTTTTTCCAAAATAATCCTTCTAATAATGATAGTTTTAACCAATATACTTAATTAGCAAGGATATTTTAGGAATGACAACACTTATTTATTATAAATAACCAACTTAACTTACTTCCTTAATCTCCTCAAATAAGTCAATTGGGTCTTATAATTAGGACCGGAGGAGTATATTTATATATATATGGATCTAACTAATTATAGAAAATGTAAATATGGGAATAATATGTATAATATTGAAATGAACAGGTTACCAGCCAAAAGGCATAAGTGGATCATAAGCACTTAATACATAAAAATTAGGGTTAATATAATCTTTCATCCCTTAAGTTTACTCTTATTTTGATTTTAATCTTTTCAATTTCAAATCA